TGTGGCAGAATTATATTAAAATTCATTATTCATTTCTTTATTTCTTATTCCATTCTTGAAATTATTATGTCAGGTAGTTTTCATTCCTATAAGTCTTATGGCCGCGTACTTACGTTATGTGTATTATTTCATTCATTCTACCCCTACCAGCACCACGAATCCGCCGTTCTTTGATGTTTCCGAACATAGAAAAGGATAGCGCAAGAAGGATAAACAAAGAGGGAAAGACTCACAAGCACAACATTTAACCCAATATTATGCTATTAAATGTTGACCGATTTATATTGTGTTTAGCTTCATTTTAATCAGAAAAATCTTCTCCACATGATAGTGAAATTTTTATTAACAAAAAGTACAAAATAAAAAACTTTATTCTGTGCATTAGTATGGTCACATTGACACGGGGCATTTAAATGAAGGCAATAAATCCCGGATTTAGTCCCTCTTTCGTCTTTAGCTACTGACTCTTTCTAATCAGTGTTTACTGACTAGGCAATCAAATTTGAAAAATGATTCTCCTATTCCATAACAGTTGCGGAGTGGACCGGCAATAATTATGTACATTTATCGAGTTTTCACTGTATATGGTGCAAGTTTTATAATTCATTTTTCTGGTATACCATTTCAAGTATTCTGTCTGTAATTTAATTGATGAAAAAAACATGATTATAAATATGAATAAAAAAGTTTGATGGTTGCACACATTAGTACATGTATTGTTTCATTCTCGAACCTCTTTCTCTCTCGAGCGCCCTATTCTTTTCTATGTCTGGCAGGAATCAAAATCGGCTCGAGCCTGTTGCAATTGTAACAGATGTGGCAACAGCGTGACAGAAGTCTTAATACGTTGCGGCAACTATGCCATACTTCTGACTATATTCGCGTAGCTGTTTGTGGTGTCAAATAAGAATTTACATTTATCGACTGATTTCTGTTTTTATCGACCCCGATGATAACGTGGTCAAATATACCATCAATGCCTCTGACGGAAAATCAGTGAACTATTCTTCCGTCTATTTGACGTCTGATGCGTGCAAATCGTAAATTTCGTTTTACGTCTTCCAGAAGTGATAAATTGTGAAAAATCGAATTTCAGTGACCTTGTGCTAGTTCAAGGAAGGGTGGTCTGGTGTGCTATGGGTGGAAAAACCATTAAATCGTTCAATATTTGCTAAAATGCAGCCGAACGCAGCATTCGGCAGTCATGTTGTTTGCTTACAACAGCGTCTGTCTCAATCTTACAGTGTCGAAAATATCATTTTTCTCAACGTATGGCGTTTATTAGCGTTCAAACGGACCAGACCACCCTGTGGTGAAGTCTACCCGTGGGTGCTATACCCGCGAAAATTTCATTTGTGCAATTATCGAGACGAAAAACGAAATCTACGAAATCGAGTGTCTCTCTCACGCATGGCGTATACGTGCATGCTTTCCGTTGATTGTGTGAGTGCACGCATACAGGTCATGGCACAAGGAGTCTGTGCCCTTAAATTAATCTCCAATCCTCGCGAGAGAGGCATTCAAGAAAAAGTAACTGATTTAAATGCTTATCCGAAAGTCTGCTGCGATTTTCCGCTTTAATCGTTCCCGCTCTAGAAAATAATCGTTCGGATGGAACAGACGTTGCGACGACGCTTAGATATTTTATAGCTAATTTGCATAGCGACGGATACGCTGATTTGACAATTTCTCAGTGTTTTAAAGGATTTTCGTATCGTGAAATTACTGGTAGATTGATATACTGTCGTAATTCAAGATTGAGAGCTTCTTCGTCGTTGCTTATCGAATCAATATTCTTAGTCACCATTTCATCATAATATTCCCATATACTTGATTCATTATTTGATGATCTTGTCAGAATCCTATTGGACATTTCAGAAACCGTATTAGAAACCGTATTAACGTGTTAATTTTTGTAACTGCTGTGGATGCTGCCAGCGCAGATTGGAAATGTAGTTTCTTGAATCGCAGATCCACCATAGTTGAAATTGCAAAGACTGGATTAAATTCCAAGTCTTTAAACTTTTGCTCTGTTAGCGCCAGAAGATGGTTCTTAAACTGCATACTCGTTTCCGTTGTTACGTCCCTGGATGTACGTGTATACAGTAATGCTTCGAAATAAGCAAGTGGCTCGGGACCGAACAGTTGCTTATTTCGAAGCAGGTAGCTATTCGGCTTGATTTTGTTCTCGAAACGGGACGATAGAGAACGCGAGAAACGAGTGAGAGATCCGAGGTAGCGGCAAATCATAAAGTGATCGGCCGAGCAGCGATGTTATTTTTTGGACAAGGATAGAATATAACATGCCCTCTCGCACTATGCTTTATTTCGAAGCAAATTTACCAGACTGAGAAAGCATTATATATATTCCATCCTTCTTCTACTAACCGATGTCACTGCTCAGTCAAGCGTGAAATTTATTACCCTAAACATCGCGTCGGCTTCGCGCTTTCATGGACCTCTCACTCGTTTCTCGTACCTCTCACTTTGCGGGCGACTTCAAACAAAAAAGAGGGGATAGCGACTTGCTTATTTCGAAGCAGAGACCACTTGCTTATTTCGAAGCATTACTGTATTCAGTTTCGTCTTCCGCTATTCCGTGAAGGTCTCGCTCAAGAAACCGCGATCGTCAGCGTTCCCACTGTTGGCAGCAGCCGGCTCCGGTAGTCACCGAGCTCTCGGAACTCGATAACGAAAACCCTTCGCTAGCACTTTTGTTCGCTAGCAACAGACTCGTCCAACGCCCATCTTCGGGGGTATAAAAGATCAGTGCAGCGCGGCCCGCGAGTGCAGTTCAAGTTAAGTTTTGCGCTTTTTAGTATCCACGTAAGTAACGCTCGATAACGCCGCGCCCATCAGCTCATCTCCACCCCGAAAGAACATTAGAAGAAGATGTGCTCGGCCGACAGGAACCACGAGTGTATCGCCGAGGTCTGATCAGCCAAACCCATAATTGGACTAGCTCCAGGAGTGCATTCGTGTCCTGTGTCTCATCTTCCAGAGTCGAGTCGAAGCTTCGCCCCGCGTATCTAGCGTTATACCAATCCGCGACAGTCAGTGAAATCGAGACCTTGTGTATGTGTGAATATTAAATGTGCGACATACAACACCCACAGTCAACGTAGGGTATGTAACACAAAACAATAGAATATATATACATGTTTATTGATTACCTATTGTTGGGACTCTTTCTGTAATCTGGTGTGTAGGCGAAATAATTACACACGATGTTATATGTATATGGAAAAGGATATATATTTATATATGGTTTTATACGCAACGTCTTATTCTATAGTATGAACACTTCTCAGAGCAATATATCGTCAAACAATTAAACGCTTCAAACAGATCGTCGGACCGTTCGCAACGTAGTAGAACGCAATAGAAAAGCTCGCTGGAAGCGTTGACTTGGCCAAAGGCCAAAGTCGGGGAAACGCTTTCTCCAACATCTATATAGATACGTGCGTGATAAACGCCTATTCTATACCCCGTTTATCCGCAAAGTGCGCTTTAACCGGCAACACCCACAACGCGCGTTAAATCAAGAAAACGCTCCGTAATCGGGGATGTAACATTGCAGCAAGGGAGTAGATGGTAGATTATCACCTGGTAAATGAAATATGTCCGGGAATTCTTCTATCAAATTTAATACATGGTCCCTTTCCTCATTATTTAAGTTATCTAAACGCAGTCTATTCGAGATTTCGGTTACACGGTTGACTATTGCAGGTTGTTCAAAATTGGAATCAAGACATTCGCGTTCTTCAGGAAAATAGAGATATTCAAATGGTATAATTTCTTGAGGAGGAATTTTGATTTCTATGTCTCGATCTAAGGCATTTATACGAGGGTTGCTATTTATACAGAGTGCGAGGAAATAACGTGGACAAACATTTTCAGTCATAATTTTATTATAACATAAAATTTGAAAAAAATGTATATTTAGCAAGAATAACATATACATCTATTGGGAGTACAAATAAGATTCCGTCGTTTTTTTCTAAAGTTTGAGGCTTTATTACAAAATAATGGCCATCGCTACCTACGACTTTTGCCCATCTTTCAGACTCCTCTTCTTTCAAAGAAATCCACGAATCAACCCAATCTTTGGTGTCCTCATAGGAAGTGAAGTGTTGAGACGATGTGATAGGGCTGGCGTGACATACTTAATTTTACGTGGTGGTGAGGGGTCTTGTTTACAATAGTGGGTGGTCGTTGTGCGCCTATATTTCTTTAGCTTGTTTACATGTACTATTTTTGTTAATAAAGCTATCGACAGTTAGCTCATCAACGTTTGCGATATTTGGAGATTGCCGGTTGCAATCCAGAACTGCGTCGCGTAAATCTTTGACGCGACCGATAAAATCAAGAATGTGTTCATTCGGTTTCATAAATATACAGTAATGCTTCGAAATAAGCAAGTGGCTCGGGACCGAACAGTTGCTTATTTCGAAGCAGGTACCTATTCGGCTTGACTTTGTTCTTGAAACGGGACGATAGAAAACGCGAGAAACGAGTGAGAGATCCGAGGTAGCGGCAAATCATAAAGTGATCGGCCGAGCAGCGATGTTATTTTTTGGACAAGGATAGAATATAACATGCCCTCTCATTCTCGCACTATGCTTTATTTCGAAGCAAATATACCAGACTGAGAAAGCATTATATATACAGTCAACCCTCCTATAACGCGGTGAGTGCGTACCGCGTTATATGGAAACCGCGCTATAAGAAACTCGGATTTAACCGTACAAACCAGGCTAATTCGTAGCGCGTTCTATGGAAACCGTCTACCGCGTTGTATGGAAATCGCGCTATAAGAAACGCAGAATTAGTACAAATCACATTATTCGTACCGCGTTATATGGAGACCAATAAGGACAAGATAAATTATAAATTATTTTTATTGAATTGAAGAGTTTATATAAAGAAATGATACCAAAACTAAACTGAAAAACTGTTTTCCAACAAAAACAAGAAAGACTTTTGTAAAATTTAATCTTTCAACACTCATCCTCGCTATCAGATAATATGAGTCGCCTAACTCGTCTTCTTTTAATAGGCAAAATGTCTTCCTCACTTGGCGCATCTTCATATTGGTTTTCGATTGTAGCTTTTTTTTCTAACTCCACTAAAACCTCTCTATAGGGAGCTAAGCAATTTCTTAACTCTCTTTTAAACTTTGCGCTACGCACCGTTGAATGATCAGTTTGAATGAAATGGAGTTCTAATTCTTTAGCCAAATTTAGCCCTTTTTTCACATCTTGTAAATCGACATTTGGCACCCATTCGTTTTCTTTATTTTCGTTTACCAATGGATTTGAGGTGGGTGCATCAATTAAATCCATCAGTTCATCCTCATCTAAAGTTTCTTCCCCGAGTACGAGTTCTCTTACATCCTGATGGTTTGTTGTAAATTCTTCATCGCCTAAACGAGAAGCAATGTTTACTATTTCTGTAACTGGGAGTGAAATTGTAGAATCATCTTGTATTGTTTGAACCATTTCAGGTAAAAGGGGTTTCCAACACGCATTAAGCGTTGATGGTTTAATTTCCGCGCAAGCCGATGACACGGTTCTAATACAATCTAAAATAGAAAATTCCATCCAAACTTGAGTAAGGGTTTTATTTTCACTACTTTCTAATCTGTCGAAAATGGTTTGGAAAACTTGGCGTGTGTAATACATTTTTAAAGTTTGAATGACTCCTTGGTCCAAAGGTTGTATTAATGACGTGCAGTTAGGAGGAAGGAAGACAATTTTTACATTTGGATGATCCAGTTGTATGTTGTGGCAACCAGCGTTATCAAGAACCAATAAAACTTTGAAATACAAATTTTTTTCCATCGTATGGGTTTCCACTGCCGGGATAAAACAATTATAAAACCAATCCTTAAATAAATCTTGGGTCATCCAAGCTTTCTTATTAGATCGCCAGAATACAGGCAATTCGGTCTTATTAATGTTTTTCATAACACGGGGAGTTGAAGAACGATTTATTATCATAGGTTTTATCATCAGGCTCCCTGATAGATTGCTGCACATATGAAGGGTGACACGTTCTTTTGAAGGTTTAAACCCCTGAGCACGCCTTTGATTTTTGAAAATGAAGGTCCTAGATGGTAGTTTTTTCCAATATAATGCCGTCTCATCGGCGTTAAAAATCTGATGAGGTGAATAGCCTCCTTCATTGATAATTCTAGCTAATTCCAGCTTATAATTCTCGGCAGCCTCAGCATCTGCTGAGGCCTGTTCTCCTTGAAACTTAATATTGTGTAATGAGTACCTTTTTTTTAGTTTTTCAAACCACCCTTTACTCGCGACAAACGAATGATTTTCTAGCTCTGCAGAAGAATGCCCAATATTCCTTAAATGTTCATAGATTTTAAGTGCTTTCTGCTTGATAAGATTTCCACTGATAGGAATCTTTTTGGCTATACAGTCTTCCAACCAGATCATTAACGCCCGTTCCATTTTAACCATATTAGAATTTCGTGTGCGAGTGACACGTTTCGCACCTAACGGACAGCCATCTGCCACAGTTTTCCTTATATTGTCTGCATTTTTCTTTAGGGTTCGAATTGTAGATTCATTCAACTTGGTTGATTTTGCAACTGACGATAGATTTTCCCCACCTTCTAAACGATTTAGAATTTCGATTTTATCTTCAAGAGATATAAACTTTCTTTTTAACCCTTTCCTTGTTTCTTTCGTGTTTGACATGATGCAAATCTAGGGTTAGTAATTACTTTATTATTATATTAGAACAAATGAAGAATATTACTTACAGTATTGTGTAATGTTGTCCAATTATAAACCACAAATTAAGCAGCAAAAAGCTGAACGAACGGACGGTGCAGAAAAATTTTTAGAAAGACTTGGTCACCAACAAAACGTGTACACTGTGAAAGAGCTCTGAGAAGACTAAAACCGATGTCGTAGACGGCTATCAGATAAGCCGGAGATAATCTTTATATAAACATATCTAGTTACTATGTCGCGATCCGACTGCCTGGACCTACATGAAACTGGCGCCATCTGTTCCCTTATAATTCAAATAGGCCCTAACGAACTAAACATAGGCTAAACATTCTTAGGCTACGCGGAAGGAACTTATGTGATGCTGTTGACGGAAACCGCGCTGTAAGAGTATCGTGTTATAGGAGGGCTGTCGCATTTTCAGCTCCGCGTTATATGGAAACCGCGTTCTGAGAGTACCGCGTTATAGGAGGGTTGACTGTATTCCATCCTTCTTCTACTAACCGATGTCACTGCTCAGTCGAGCGTGAAATTTATTACCCTAAACATCGGCTTCGCGCTTTGATGGACCTCTCACTCGTTTCTCGTACCTCTCACTTTGCGGGCGACTTCAAACAAAGAAGAGGGGATAGCGACTTGCTTATTTCGAAGCAGAGACCACTTGCTTATTTCGAAGCATTACTGTATTGGCTATTTCTCCGCGAAAAGTGTCGACGAAGCGGCGAGGTTCAAAAATATCTTTTAAACGATCATATAGCGCGGTAACGGTATCGTAAAGCGAGCACAGCGCGTCCATGTAATCGCGTAATAATTAGGCGCACTAGCGTGCGTTCAGCTTGTGGCGGTACGATTTCTTTAGCGCGTCGGCATGCTCTACTGAATTGTAACGCGGTTATATTGTTCCTGTCAAAAGCCGGTATTGTATTGACGGCTTCCTTTAAAATATAATCAGACGATTCCACGGAATCACGTCACGGAGCACAATGGGAATAATCTATGTTTCAGTGGCCAAAAATGTATAACTTTTGAAGGAATGAAGATAAAGTAATATTTCTTTTTTCTTTAATGAAATTGAAGTATTTTTCATTACTTAAGCAACATTAAATACGTTATTTATGTTAGACAATACTTAATTAATTAACTAACACAATAACGTTACGTACCTACTATTTAAAATTCAAAAATATCACAAATCTCCCCTGGCCATTCCTCTTGAATATCCTTTCTCTTTTGCTGCATCCTTAAAGACGATATTAATGGATCATTGAGTCTTAGTCTTCGGTATTCTTTGTGATTGGCCTCCTGTGCTTCTTCGGATAATTCTCCAATTGGCAAAATATGGGAACCAATAATGTATTCTCCATGGCATAGAATTTTATGTACAGTTGGTGTTAAATTTTTGTGGGGATATGGATTCTTTAAATAAATTCAGAGTGCTTTTCGCATATTCTCCAAATTTTTGTGAATTCGATTTTAATCCGCTGTTTATCATATTTAAAATATTTTTAAATCTTATAATAATTTCTTCTTTTATATTTAATATATCCGCTGTAATATCAAAATGTTTGCAAAATCGTCTGGCACTATTGCCATCGTTTGTATTTCCGAAACCTTGTTTTGGGGTATCTATTATTAGACCTAATTTTTCTCTAAATTCTTTTATTACTCTTCTTTTCTCTGTTTCTTTAATTTCTAATTTTGTTTTGTCCCCCTTTATACGTTCAAATCAAATAGATTTTTCGTATGTCACATTTAATAGAAATTCCATACATCGAATCCTTGCGTGTAAAGGAGATAATCCAAATTCCGCATTATGTTCCGGGACTTTTTTATTAAGAGAATTAAATTCGTTCATCGTTTTAGAACATATCACACATTTAGTGGTGGCTGAAGTTCCCGAAGCATGTTGAGCAACTTTTCCATCAATCATTGTGAAAAAGAGCTTATGATTAATCTTTATACATTTAGCGTGTATTGTCGTCTCTGTTTCTTTCAAGATATTTATTTCTTTTTCTTAAATTTGAATATTCTGATTGAAGTAGTTCCTTATCTTCCTTTACATATATAAAACTGATTGGCCGGCAAAATCGTGTCGATGATGGTACAGGGAATTTTTCCATACTTCAATGGCATTTTCTTCACTATGTACCAAATTTAATCTTAGTGGAACTAATGAAGTTATAAATAAATTTGAATCTGAAATATTACTAGTATTTATAGAAAAAGCTTGTTTGTACTGATTTTGCCCGTTGCTGTTCCAAAACCATATTTGGAATATAATGTGAAACTATTGTAATTTAAGTTATCTATTTCTTCTGGTTCTTTAGTTTGTATTAGGTCATCCCATAAGTTCGTGCCGACTTTTGTATGTATACATTTCACGCCTCGATTTATAAACACAAGGCGATAAGAAACCAATGCACTTCAGTTTATTTGTTTGAGGGCAGTCTAAAAGAGATTTTCATGGGTATGGGATCGTGAAATAGTGAACGGATTGATTTTTAACAGTTAAAAATGATGAGTGAAATTCGTATTCATTTCCGACATCTAATGTTATATGAATTTCGAAAAGGAAGTTCGGTAAGAATTGCGACAAACAATATATGTGCTGTTTGCGGAGAAACTGCTCTTTCATCTTGTAACTGTAGAAAATGGTTTAACGTTTTAAAGATGAGAATTTTTGTTTAGAAGATGAGGAACGTTCTGATCGTTTTTCTCACACACAGGAAGACAAAATTCAAGATCTTGTAGAGAAATCACTTAATTTATCAGTTCATGAGATGTCAAATATTCTAGAAATACCAAAAACAACAATTCATACACATTTAAAGACATTAACACATGGGACCGTTCAAAAAACGGCACGAACTTATGGGATGACCTAATAGAATCCTTTTAGCAGTATGATTAATAGATCTTGAAGAGTACACTTTGCTGATGTTTCCGTAACTTTGCAATTAACTGGTACTGAGTCCTTTTTCGTCTCCGTAATAGCAGAGTAAGGAGGGAACACATTCTTTAGTCCTTTTTTGTTTAAATAGTGATACAATTTTTCATATTTTGCCTTAAATAAACCTAAATCAAGAAAAATTACCAAAGCTTCTTGAGGAGAAAAGCTATTTAATTTTATCGGTAAAATATGACATCATATATTCGATTTATCTCCAATTTGTCTGCTTTTTCAACAGCCTCCAAAATGTTTGCTCTTTTGTAATCGTGATTTTTTTTATAATTACTGATCATAATTTCTGGTACATCTACTTCTAAAGAGGATAAACTCTGATTTATTTCACTCCTTTTTCGTCTTTTTGACCTATCAGCATTCTCTTCATACGGTTTCTTTGGTCGGTCTTTTGATATGGTAGGTACACTGTGTTGGATACCTCATAGGTTAAGCAAATATTTTTAACTTTTCGTATTTAAGTTAGGATAAGTGAAATCTAAAATCTGTCTCCAGCCATACTATCTTCTATTTACAATTACACATCCGAACCTTGAAATCCTTACTCACCATCCTTGAATCACTCGCTTGACCCTTCGAACCTTACCAATTTCCAACGATTCCTATTGGTCCTAATCCTCATTCCCACCACTTTCAATTCCAAATTCTCGACCTTTTAAATACAGAACATTTTTCCCTTCAGTTTAGATTTTAACGTGAGCACAAAGTAGAGAGACCGATAGAAAAGCAGTAGAAAACTAGCCTGAGTGTTCTTTGTAAAATTTCCGTGTACCAAAATTTAATAAAATATTTATTAAATATCGGGAATCTAACAACTGTTTCGTTCATCTAGACCTTTTATAGAGAATTTTGGTTCCAGCCATCGGGAATTTTTCGTTAAAAACATTTTTTTATTGTAATACGAAGATTTATATTTACTTTTAATTTAATTATAAATTCCAGCAAGATTAATACTAAATAATCGCGGTACATCTTCATACTCAACTCTACACTTTTCTGTTATCTTATGAACAAAATTCCTGTCACTAACACTAGTATGTTCTATAAACATATTAAATAAAAATTTATATGTAAAATCCATTTTTATACCTATTATATAAACACTACACTGAATTCAATTAAATTTAGTTTGGAATAATGTACCGCAGTAAAATCACACTTCATTAATGGCCAAAATTTCTTATATAAATATTCTTTAAACTCGTAAATTATTTGCAAACGGTTACAGACGGATATAATTCGTCGTATACGGGTCAGTGGCACATGGTACAATAATACATATCGTTTTGTACAATTCCCTTTTCCTTGTGTATATGTACAATTAATCTTTATACAATTACTTGATGAATCAGTATCTTCTATTAGACATTTTAAAGTACTACCTCATTTACAAACATCTGTGTATTAATTGTATCTAATTATACATATATATTATCTATAGATTATTATTATGATTGCAATATAATATGTAATATAATATAATTGTATGTTAGATATAATGTTCGCGAGGCGTGTTCGATCACGGTTCTGGGATAAGTGCCATGCCGTTCCTCATGGTCCTCCTACCAGAAGATGCAAGATCTTCCCCACTCTGTGGCCAGATCCTTCTAGAACACCCTTATCTTTTTACACGTGCCATGCAGCACCATGACTTCGGGTCATCGGCCACACGCGCGTTCCTTCGAGGATCGGCGATCGAACTCTCTATCGCCGTTCCATAAACAAAACATCCGCGACTCTTAAGCCGAGTATCCACCTGTATCAAACGCCCGTATCGTATCACCGTTCCGAACCTTTTGAATAGGCAGACGTTGCCTCGTTGCATGCCACGGCGTGCTACGGCTCGGACAATATTTCTTCGTTTCTTGAAAGAAACTCCTATAGGCGAGAAGTTTCGATTTCCTGCATGCTGTTTCTTTATTGTAATTGTCCTAACCATATCGTGTTTGGTATCATTTTAATCAGAAAAACGTCACAAATATCTTGGTAAAAGTTTTATAAGAAAAAAATGAAAAATAACAATGTTCAGTCATTGCATTAGTATTATCTCACTGATATATCCGATTCCAGATCATATTATCTCGAGCCTCAAGTGTCATGTTTCCACTTGACATAGCATTTCGGGCCTTCGCCTGGGTATGTTGTTTTTACGTTTCAAGTGGTCTCCGAACCTATCCTTTGAACAGCAAGAAACCGACAATTTTCGGATCGGCCCGTTCCTTCACCTCCGTATCACAGCCCAATAGAACTTTCGATACTCGGCAACGGAAAAATCTCTGCAAAATTAACATTGTCCTTTCTCAATAATCACAGAGGTTCTTATTAACATTGCTCTTTTATGTACAGCGTATCACCGAAGATAATTGATCTGTTTAAATATATTTAGACGATAAAATTTGTCTAAATTAAATTAGA